ATTAAAAATACATTTTCAGAGAAATTCTTAGCTCTGTTGAAGGTCAATTTTGTTCACATCAGGGAATGCAATGCTACAAAATTAACATATATTTAGGCAAAAGTAAGTCTAAAAAGTCTAAGTGAATTTAACCTTTAAGATTCTGAGCTATTGTTCATCCTATTGGATAATACTGCCTTAGCCATTTACATCACTGTGCTTAAATGTTAACTAAACTGTTATCATTAATAAAACTGGTATTGCTGGGCAGATGGCTCAGTGGCATAAGCACCTGCCTGACAAGTGCAAGTCCTGAGTTCGATCCCTGATACCAACAAAACAAAAATAAAACTTGTATTTATATAACTGTACCTAAACGTTAATTAAACTGGTGTTATCAATAAAACTGATATAGGGGCCGGGGAGACGGCTCAGTGGAATAAGTGCTTCCCTGGCAAGCACAAGGGCCTGAGATCAATCCCTGGTTCCACCAAAATAAAATAAAAATAAAAATAAAACTGATATATAGCACATGAGAATGCTCTTTCATATGCCAAGAATTTTCAATTAAGTAGTAGAGAAAAGATGACAAAGTCAACATAGGCTATTATACACTCAGCATACAGCAATTAGGAAATAGATGTTTCTTCTGCATATTGTATCACACAGCCAACTAATCTGAAGCATTAAATGTTAAGTGCATAAATTATAAAAGGCCTTTTAAGGGCATTTCCATCCTTGTATGTGTATTTTATTGCCAAACAAATTATACATTGGAAACAATGTCTCCTACGAAGTTTATTTGAAATCCTTAACGTCACATATTCATGGACTTCTGCTCAATTTCTTTGGGGGGTGGGGGTGCTGAAACAGGAATCCAGCCCAGTGCCTCAGCCTCGCTAAGCCTGCACTTCACCTTCTGTTCAATTTCTAAACCAAGCATAAGCCTCACCTTGCTCAAAGCGTACAGATCCAGGATTTTTCTCTCCACCACGGGGATCTTCAAAGTAGATCCTTGAAGTTCCCAGAATTTTGCCAGTTGATCCAAGAAGTCCAGTCTCACCCTAGTCATTGCCTAGTATTAAAATACAGAAACCAGAAATAGGAACTATTATGGTTGAAAAGAAATGAATCAATCTAACATAATAAAAGTGTTCATTTCTCTAATGAAATTCAAAGACTTCATTATTGGGGCTGGGGAGATAGCTCAGTGGAATAAGCACTTGCCTGGCAAGCGAAAGGACCTGAGTTCAATCCCTGGTTCCACCAAAAAAAAAAAAAAAAAAAAAGACTTCATTACTGCTTAGTCCAACCTTGTAAAAAAAAAAAAAGCCAAAGGTAAAGAGAAAATAACACCGTTAATATTTTCATCACTGAGGCTGCCCCTTAGCTCAGCTCTTTAAGTGGCTGCTTCAACAAAGCAGCCAGGCTCAGTTTGCTGTGGTTCATCCCCACAACTCTAGCCAGCCAAACCTGCCCTGAAGACATTCAAAGCAAAAAAAATAAAAAAAGAACCGTTCTGCCTTAAAAAAAAAAAAATATATATATATATGGCAAAAAAAGCTACACTAAAATATAAAAAGTTCTCATTAGTACCCAAAGCATTTTTTTAGGTGCCTTAAGTTATGCAACCATAAAATTTAGTAAATCAGATTTTCTAATTCTAGTTAGAAAAGCATTCTAATTTTGTCTACTCATCCATATGTAATATTCACATTTAGGTGAATCAATTCTACCTGTACTGATATTATGATGCTTCGCTGACTATCCAACTACAAAGATATATAGATTATATATATATAGATATATATAAGCATAGAGAGATAGAAGAATGGATAGATGGATAGACGGATGAGTGGACGATTGAGAGAGATGATTGAGAGAGAAAAATAATACATTAAAAAAAATCTCAGAAAATATTTTAAGAGTATCTGGGAGGGTGAGAAAAACCTCAGCATAACATAACAAGCTTTAGCTATCAAAAGATTTTTCTTCTACACTCAGGAAATGGTTTTCCAAGATAGCTCAGCGGACTAAAGCACCTGCTTAGGCAGAGTGCAGCAGCTGAGGTTCAAACCCCAGCACAAGGCCCTGCCCCCAGGCACGCACTGAGCTGGAGATTGAGACTAGGTGTGGTTGCATACACCTGTAATCCCAACCCTTGGGAGGTTGAAAACTATGTACTGAGACCCTATAGACCTTGTAGACCCTGTACTAAATACAAAAAAAGAAAAAGAAATGGTTTTATTTATTTTTTTTAAATATATTCTGCTGTTTATTTATTTTTAGCATTTATTGTGTGTGTGTGTGTGTGTGTGTGTGTGTGTGTGTGTGTGGCCAGCCCAGCCCAGCCCACCAGGGGGCGGGGCTGGCTGGCATGTGGTGCTGGGGGATTGAACCACGGTCCCTGTGCTCTGCTAAGCCTGTTCTAAGTAGGTGCTTTAGACCACTGAGCCATCTCTCCAGCCCAAGAAATGGTTTTACTAACTGAAGAATCTTTTGAAAATCTAGTAGACAGGGAAAAAAAGCAGCAATATTTAAGTAGATTTCACCTTAGAAAATTTAAGATAAAGTACAGGATTTTTTGTTTCTTAGTTTTTGTGGGTGTTTTTGCAGTACCAGGGATTGAACACAGAACTTTGCACTTGCCAGGGAGGCAGTTATGCTGCTGAGCTCTATCTCCTGGCCCAATACCAGTGTTGTTTCGTTGTTTTTGTTTTTGTTTTCCAATACTGAGGATTGAATCCAGGCACTTCACATTCAGCTACATGTCCAGCCCTTTCATACATTTTTATTTTAAAACAGGGTCTCACTAAATTGTCCTGGGCTCAGACTCATAATCCTCCAGCCTCAGTCTCTCAAAGGACTAGGATTATAGACACAGGACATGATAACTGAGCTTGGTTTTTGTTTGCTTGGGGTGGGGGGGTTGTTCTGGTTCTGGGCGCTGGCAGATGCTAAGCACTGGTTCCACCACCGATCTATATATCCTCAGCCCAAGAGGAGTTAGGATACATTTAAAGCGAGAACATCACCAGGCATGGCAGCACATGCCTGTTATCCCAGCACTCAGAGGCTGAAGCAAGAGGACTGCCTCAAAGGGAGTTCAAGGCCAGACTGAACTATGTAGTAAAGAATAAAGATAAAAAGAACAAAGTAACAGTCCTTGAAAAATTCAGTTAAAATAAAACAACAAAAATAGGCATAATGGTATCATGGTGCATGCCTATAATCCTAATACTCAGGAGGCTGGCTTGTGAGTTTAAGGCCAGCATGGACTACATATCAAGACTCTCAAAAACAGACAGGGGCCGGGGAGGATAGCTCAGTAGAATAAGAGCTTCCCTGGCAAGCGCAAGGGCCTGAGTTCAATGCCCAGTTCCACAAAAAACAAACAAAAAACCCCACAAATCTTTGAAAACTAGATTTTGAGTTAGACTTTAAAAATCTATTTCCTGCTACAAGGTTGTATATGGTTAGATTTCTGGACTTATGTGTAAACATAAGAATTATATAATTCTTTATGTGCATTTTTAAAATATAGCTTAATTTTTTAAATGTTTTTTCATCATATTCTATAGGGACTTAAAGTTCAACATATCAATACTTGATGAAAAATACTTGTTCCATGTTATGCCTAAGATGTTTGATATTCAGACAGCTAGTGAGGTTAAGCTTAACAGCCTAGGTTGTATGCTAATAACAATAAGCTTCTCTTCTGGAGGGTTAACAACCTAAGTTTGCAGACC